TGTTCCCCCAACAGGCGTTTTTCAAGAGAAACTGTACGAGCCTCCTTCCGTTTGCCATTTTTGGACGGGATTCGGGCACCTCTTCATTTTCTGCTCTGGAATGGAAGTGCCGGTGTGCCACTCCAATTGTGAAAAATGAAAAACGAGAACAATTGTATTCCTGCCATTTATAAATGCATTTCTCATTTGAAATTGAATTTTTTAGCTGTAGCACCGTTGAGCTGCCTCAACTAAACCGTGCATATGGGACATGGTCCCAGGTAAATTCAATTTTGTGTCTAATCTGGGTGGCCTTTTCAGCCCAGGGTGGCCTTGATTGCCTTCAGGGATACTAGTGGTTTGAGATGCTTGCCACTTGTTGATAATACGCCTCTTCTTTTTTGTTGCCGGACCGAACTCATCCGTTGCATTATTTCGTCCAAACTTCCCTAACGGTTCCTTTTTTTTTTTTTCCCTAAGGGTCAAAGGGCTCTTTTTTTTTTTTTTTTTTTTTTTTCTAACTTCAGAAAAAAAGGAAAAAAAAAAAAAAAAAAAAAAAAAAAAAAAAAAAAAAAAAAAAAAGAAAGAAGGAAAAAAATGGAAAAGGAATGGTAGATAGTAGGGCGATATAGTGGATGGCATTAGCCCATCTTAGGGGCAGGCCCACTGGAGGCATGCTCATGATTGTGGCCGCACTATGGACCAGGTGCATGAACATAGCACCAGTGGGGCCGGCTCTCACAGTGGCAATAGGGTTAGCTTTCTGGGGGGTCTTGCTGCGTCGGCGAGCGGGCTGGTGGGGTGGTGGGCCGGCGGGTCAGTGGAGGGTTACGGGCTGTCCGTGAGGGCCATAGGAGCAAGCGGGAGAAGGGGGACGAATGGACGGAGCCGGGGGGAGGGAGGTACGTTGACGGGTCGTCCGCGGAAGTTGAAGAGAGCGTCCACGTGGCAGTAACTTGTAATTAGTCGTTTGTCGTGTGGCGCAGCGGCAGCGACGTCGCCTGTCCCGTGAGGGGTCGGGCGACTCGACCAAGCACGCTGGCTATGGCGTCGGCCGCGAGGGCGGGGAGAGGAGCCATCGAGGCATCGAGGCGGCTGCTTGGGCGGGGATGGCAGGGGACACATGGCATTTCCCGCGTGAGGAATGCCAGCTTGGTTGGAGGAGAGTTGCTTCGGCCGCGCAGGGCGGTCGGGAGCGGGATAGGAACTCTACAGCGGATAGCCGGCGGAACGTCGATCGCGACGACGACGGGCAATGTCGCGGAGCAGCAGGTTTGGCCAATGGGGAAAGCACCTTTAAGCGCTGGCACGTGCCAACGGGGGGGGGGGGGGGGGGGGGGAGGGGGGGAGGGGGAGATTGTGGGGGCTATGGAAGCTGAGCGTTGCTGGGCAAGCGGGATCACGAGGAGGAGCGGTAGCCACGCGGTGGTGGTGGGGGAAGCAGCAGGGGCAATCGCGACCCCGGTCCCGATTGCGCGGGTTGCCACGGGCATGGAGCCAGCGAATCTCATCGGCGGCGGAGAGCAGCGGAGAGGGTTTCTCTTTCCGCCGCGGACTGCCGCCTGTCCGGATCTCGACCTCTCGTCGTCGTCGTCGGGCTTAGTGAAGCTGTCGTCCTCGGCAGGATGTCGGGACGAGGAGACAGCCGCGCCCTTCGTCGCGCGTTCGGCGGGAAAGGAGGGTTTTGGCGGGAACGGTTGGGTCGGCGGATGGAACGTGCGGGCGACACGTGGCATCTCCTCCGGGCGCCGGTTGCTTTACGAGAGGAGTCTGCAGGAGCCCTCAGGTCATCTGTCTGCAGGGATCTCGATCCCGATGGGAATGTCCACCGCTGATCTGGAAAGCGCCAGATCAGTGGTCCGCACGGATCGCGATCCCGACTTCGGCCAGCAGCGGAATCAGCTAATAAGAGCAACGGGGTGTCCTGGAGCAGGAGCGGGAGTGGGAGGGGTCGGTGGAGGAGATGGACTACCGGTCGCTGCTCCTGCTGCCGGCAGCAGCCCCGTGGCGGCGGGGGCGGCGTCCAGTGTGGCGGCGGCCGTCTCCATGCCTGCCTACGTGGCAGCGGAATTGCCCCTTGATCCCATCGTCAAAATTTTCTCCGTGTCATCCAGTCCTAATTACTTCCTGCCTTGGCAAAACAAGCCGCAACGAGAGACATCTGGATCGGGTAATGTATCAATCAATCAAGCAATCCATCCTGTAAACCAATCAATCAATCCCATCGGCAAGATCGGCAAGATGTTTTCCGTTTAATCGGGTCCTACCGTCTCCACCCGAATAGAACGCCCGGTGATGATAGCCCTATTTGGTGCAAGGTAACCTACATGGCCAATAGAAAGAACTATAAGCTAAACGTTTTTTTTGGACTGTGTTTTTAGCCGTTGATTGCGGCTAATTAATGCTCCTAATATCATGGAAGCAATACTGCAAAAAAAGATGTGTGTGTGTGTGTGTGTGTGTGTGTGTGTGTGTGTGTGTGTG